CTCTCGCTCTCTCTTTCTCTCTCTCTCTCTCTCTCTCTCTCTCTCTCTCTCTCTATCTCTCTCTCTCTCTCCCTCTCTCTCTCTCTCTCTCTCTCTCTCTCTCTCTCTCTCTCTCTCTCTCTCTCTCTCTCTCTCTCTCTCTCTCTCTCTCCCTCCCTCCCTCCCTCCCTCCCTCCCTCCCTCCCTCCCTCCCTCCACTCCCCTCCCTCTTTCCGTCCACTTAATTTACAAAGATATCCATTACATTCATTTTCTCGTTACTCAGGACACCTTCGAATTTACCAGAGTATGTAAAACGAAAGCACAGTTTCCCTTAAGTAATGACGTGCCATTAGACAAATCAAAATCGCTTATCCTAATCACGATAAATCATTTGGCATTTCCCATCCTCAGAGAGAGCGGAAGTTGAAGTGACAATGGACGGTACTGTGTAGTTAGATGTCTGTTGCTAGACGGGTAGATTGTCAGAAACTTTCTAGATTTCTGTTGTTTACATCTCGTTGTTAGTTTTGCGTTGTTAGATGTTGTTTTGCCGGTTTTATTTTTGTTATTCGATGTTCCTGGTAGATGTTTTAAGGTGTTTTAAATTTGATGTTTGTTGTTGGGCGGTTGTAGTTAAATGTTTGTTTGCGTTAAACTGGAAATCCAGGATTATTCATGCACTTTTAACTTATAATTGAAAGTGACACTAACCAAAGAAACGGATCCTATGCTACGTTCTCGATAGTCGCTGTTCCATGCAGTGTATGACCTAATAACCCCATATTTCAGCATTGGTCCTAACGCTGAAGGACGGGATAAACCGCCTCGTCCATTCCACTCAATGAAGTTATATAGCGAGGGTGAGAGGACTGCGCGAGCGACTAAACCGATAGAATCACCAGTGGTTCCTAATTTTTTTTTCTTCCTTCTTTAACGATGTCATTTATACTCTTGTAATCCCTCTTGCGGCGAACTTAACATTAACTACCTTCCACTCCTCAAGAATTTATCTTTAGAGCAGAGTGCATGTTTGTCGGTTCTGTTTATTACTGCTGCTCGGAGCAAAATAAGCAGGTTTTATGCTCAAATGACAAACATGAATCGCGAGAATTACGAGCGTGACTTTGAATTCAACTAAAGACAAACAAAAAAAACAAACAAAAAGAGGCACGATTAACTCTGATAACAAAATACAGCAAACAAAACAATCGGGAAATAAACAAGATTCAAGTAAACTCCATTGGTGAGATACAGAATTTGTACTTTTTTTAAGGTTTGGAGTCTGTGCCCTGGATATATAACATATCGTTAATGTTATTTACCACCCTGCTATCTGCTCAGGCGTGGGCAATCCAGTTGGGTGGTCTGAATGGCTGTATCACATGACATTCAGAGATATAGTGCTCAAGCGTTAACATATCGCTATTCGTAGGTTGGCGTGTTGCATCCGTAGATTATGTCTCTATATCTACCTGTCCATATATATGTACAGTACACACACACACACACACACGCACACGCACACGCACACGCACACGCACACACACACACACACACACACACACACACACACACACACACACACACACACACACACACACACACACCACATACACACACACACACACACACACACACACACACACACATACACATCTACCTATGTATTAATTGAGCTTTTCAAGTGTTGGCGAATAATATCCATCAGTATAGGTAACATGTATCTGAATTTATACAAGCCCACAATCTTCTTCTAAAGTGACCACTATGAAAACGAGGGCCCGGCACCCAGCGGGCTCTCAGGCACAGCCTAAAGCACCTACAGAATCAGGCACTGGACGCAAACTAGGCACTTCCCGGCGCGCACTTCCTCTTGGGAGGCTGATGAGGCGGTCACGCAGAGTCACCGCCGCCGCCGCCCTACCTGGTGGGCCTCTCCCGGACATGTAAAAGGGGGGTTATGTCGCCTTAGATTTCGTAGAGACGGGAAAGAGGGTGGTTTTGATAGAGGGAAGGGGCGGGTTTTGTTTGATGGAAGGTTTGGTTGTCAATGAGATATTTCTGAGGAATGATAAAACGAGAAATATATATTTTATTCATTAATGATTAATCTTGAAAGCACAGTAGCCCAAGACCATCAAGAGAAAGAAAGGTAAATGTGTAAGAAATATGATATATTTACCTGGAGCAAAAAATAAGATGAAACAGATGTTTATAATAATAATAATAATAATAATAATAATAATAATAATAATAATTATCATAATCATAATCATAATCATAATCATAATAATCATAATTATCATAATAACAATAACAAAATTGTATTATCCCCTTACATCCTAGACCCACACCCAAAAAAAAAAAACTCGTCAGCTCTTTCCCAGCTGTAGATAACAGCGTCCTCCGACACTAAGCAAGAAAATCCTGTTAGCTCTGCCGCGGCTAGGTAATGGGTCCCCCGCCGTTTGACCGCCGCGCCGCCCTGGCCGCTGGCGAGCCGTCTGCCGGGGAGGCC